CATCCTGAAAAGTTTTAAGTTTGAACACAAACACATCCTACAAAAACCAACATCAAAGAGAACAACACTTTTGCATTGAACATATATATATGAAAAATACATATTGGCCTTGAAATGTGATGATCAACAGCCAAAAACAGAAAATTAAAGCGCATATTACATCAAAAATACCCACATACAGCAGTCCTAAATCAATTACAACATTCACAACAAACAACCTAAATCAGTTGCATTCTGGACAATATTATCACCCATATTTGCCAGCTTGCACGCCGACTAACAACAAAGTCTATGTACAACTTCCCCAGATTACCAAAATACAACAGCATACTTCAACTCCACACATCCAAAAAAAACAAACATCATGCTTTACATTTAACACACCCAAAAAACAACAACATGCTTCAACTCCACACTCCTTAAGTACTGAAAAAAATCATAAAATCAATTAAGGGGCTACCCTTGACAGTTTGAAGCATGTCACAATGTTAAAATTTGAAGGACTGATATTACACTAACCTGCTACCTTGACAGTTGCTTCAATGTTGACATGTCTAACGTTGTGGGCTGATGAAGCTCTCCTCTCTAAACAAAGCATAGAAAACAAAGTTAATTCAAGCAAATTCTATTACAAAAACAATACTAATCATGTTAAATAAAAGCTGTAAAATACCCTTTGATTCTGTTGTTTGAATGATTTTGTGGGCAGCGTCTCTTGTATGTCCTAAAGTTCGACAGATCCCACACCTAAGTGTTGACGTTTGGTCATCCTTGGTTCTTCATGCATCCTTTTTTGGCCTTTTTGGGCCTCCCAACCTTGTATGTTTGATAGGGGGATTCAGCTGCCTACCCCCAAGCAAGTCAGGCCAACTAAGTGGGTCAGGTATGGGGTGAATGTGTCAACATATGTTTTTACGTATGAAGTGATCCTTAATGAAGAGTCCACATAATCCTCCATATTTCTAATGTTCCTAAAAAGCAAACAGCGGACGCAGCACACAGGGACTCCAGAAAGTTGCCACATTCTACAGTCACAAGTTTGAGATTGAAGGTTTAATATGTAACGTCTACTAGGAAGGCAGTTGTTATCCACCACTTCAAAAATCATCACTCCAGGCCAAATAGCTTCAATATTCCTAGCAGATCAATTAGACCATGATTTTTCATGTACAACAGGGGGAACAGTTGTGACCCATCATTCCTAGCCTTTGCCCTAGCTTGCATCTGTACATAACTACTCCCATATATGCTCTAACAAGCTTAGTATGGGTAATTCTCTATTCTCTCCCAACCAGCTATTAAACACTTCACACATGTTATGTAACATGATAGATTTGGAATCAAGGTCGAATGCATGCCTTGACCAGGATCTCACATCTATTTCAATCATCACCTATGAGCTTTCTATCTACAGCTTCAAACTTTCCATGGCTTGCTGAAAATCAATGATATTGGCAGCCCTACTAACAGCCAAAACAAGTTCCTTAACCTCAACCCAGGAATTTTTTCCTAAAGTTAGCAAAAAACGCTAGCACAATGTCTAACACTAGCATTTGGCCAACAAGTGTATAGCATCCACCAAACCCTTTTGCCTATCACTCATGATAGTGATAGGGCAATGTCCCCTATAAACCCTTCAACAAGGTCATAAAGTATCTCCATGATTCCTTGTTTTCTATCTCAAAATGGTAATTGCTACGGGAAAATGCCACTGTTAGCATCCATAGAAACTGCTGATAATAGTACTCCCATAAGGCCCTTTAAGATGGGAACCATCCACACCTATAAAATGCCACAACCCTTTATAAACCCTTCTTTTGTGCTGCAAATCTAGAAACACTCTGAAAGTTTGGAATCCCTTCTGGACTAACAGATTCACAATACATGGAACCTGGGTTGGTATGTTTGACAATGTGATCATATTTCAACAAACCAGTAAAGGACTATGCATGGAGCTTGTCTGACCTCCCCTTTGCCAGCTGATTAGCTCATAAAGTTTGGATCTAGACAACTGTAGATAGTGTTTCCTACCCAACGCGTCTACCAATGGCTTAATTGATGAACCCTTTTGGGATCTGATGAAGTCCCCATTTTCAGCCCCAAGCAGTTGTTGCCTCTCTATTATATAAACCCTCGTGCATGTATGTGAGTGCCTATACTTCCTAATCTGAAAAGACACATCATCAGGCATCAAAGCAGCATATAGATGAAATGGACAGTTTGTTTGCTTAAATTTAGCCTTAAATCTTCTTCTCTCATTGTGAATCTTCCTAACAGAAAACCCCCTTTGAATTACATAATCTCGAAACACCTTCAAGTGATCAACTCCCTCAAACACTTGACCAACTTTGAAGTGGATTTTCCCATTATCCCCATATGCAACGTGTGACCTTCATGTGCTTGCTAAACCTAGTTACTGCATCTTCATCATCAGTAGACCCTCATATGAACTGTCCTCATGGTATTCAGACATTTCCCCTTGAACTTCAATGTCCTCTCCCCAACACTACCTGCCCAGTTTGATTTCCCTTAACCACTACTACCTTGCCCGGTGATTTCCCTCAACCCCACCACTTCCTTGCCCAATTTCAATTCCCTTTACACCCCCACTTTCCTGTCCAGTTTCCATTCCTTCAACCACCCCACTTCCCTGTCCATCCTGCCATTCTCATGGTCTTCTTCATAGCACTTTCATACTTCAACACTCCAATAGAACTATCTGGAATACCTCTTCAGCTTCCCTATCCTGCCTCAAAAAACCCTCATTGTCCTCTGGTTGGATTCTAATAAAGTTCTAGGTTCAACAAAGTCCAGTGTATGGCTCTACAGAGAATCTTATCACTCGCTTGCCAAAACTCTTATTTGCCAAATATGAATTCCATATCATCATCCCCTTCCACTATGTATCTACCCCCTGACAAGGGTAGCTCAACCTTATACTTAAACTTCTCATAAGGGTTCATTTCGACAACCTCATTCTCCGAAGCACACATCGTTTCACATCTTAATAAAACATCTATAACTATACTCATCCGGATCAACATTTAGTATTATATTCTAAATTAAACACTTCAACTTTAAAGTCATAGGAATTTGGTTTAAGCCTGCATAAACAAACCACAACCAAGCAATTATACAAAAAATCACGGCACACCCTACCCACCCAAGGTACGTGGCATTGTACACCAGATGTCGTCAACCACTGCTAGGCAGCATTTAAGACAGTTACTGGTTTCCAGCCAATATACCAAAAATTTCCCAACGCCACCAATAAAAAAATCAACTGCCACCACCACAACAGCATCACCACCCTACCACCACCCAGGTACGTGGCATTGTACACCAGATGTCGTAACCACTGCTAGGCAGCATTTAAGACAGTACTGGTTTCCAGCCAATATACCAAAAATCACCCTAACGCCACCATCAACTCTACCACACTATACCACCATACACACACCACCACCAAAACTAACAGTGCCATGCAACACCAATATCCTAAACCCCTACTACACCAAAACTTTAACCCTAACACCACTGTCAACTATACCACCACTATATCACCAATACACACAACAACCAATACTAACACGCCATGCAACACCAATATCCAAACCACCACTACACCCAAAACCTAACCGTAGTCTTAAAGCCTCATACTACCACCATCACCATCCTACCACCACCCAACAACCACCCTACCATTATACAATCACCGTACCAACCGACCACAACATACCCCCATTGAACCACCAAACATGCACCACTAATCCATCAACCACCACCCAATAACCACCCTAACGCCACCACCACAACCCTTACACAATCACGACACCAAACACAAACAAAAAAGCCAATCCCAGAAAAATCCAACACAAACCATATACAAAAAATACGTAAATAAAAGTCGATATACCTTGCCGCAGACCACTTCGCCATATCGTCCATCCGTCGAACTGTCGTCTTCTTTACCCGTCGTTCGTCTTCCTCTAACCAGCGAGATTTCTCTTCTCGTTAATGGCTTGTATTCCTTAAGGTTGTGTTTGCGCGACCGATACGATGGTTCGGTTAATGGGTCTAGGTTTGGTTGTCGTTTCGTTTAGGAGTCAAAGCAGAAAAAACCAAACGGCAAGGATTCGGTGAGGCTTACGAGTTTGACTATGGGATGGGAAGAAGGTCAGTGCAATTTTTGTTGCACAGGTGATGAGGTCGTGGGGTAATATGGGTTAGTTTTTCAGAGAAGCATTTTCGTTTGAAAGAGAAAACGAAAGAGAAAACGAAAGAGTATAGAGAAAAAGAAAAAAAAAAAAACCCCCTGACATTTGCAATAACTCCAGCCGTCATACTTATCTCCCTTTACAGATTTTGCAACAATTTTCTAGGCTTCTTTATTATTTTTTTATTATTTGAATTTAATTGGCACCATTTCCCTAGGTTTCTTTATTATTTGAATTAATTTAGAATTAATTTATCTTAAATGTCGTTTTTACCCTTTTGTTGTTAAAACCAAGTGAACGGTGTTAGATTAAGAGTGGCAAAACGGGATAAATTGAACCAACCGTATTAACTTGGGATTTCCCCAAACTTCGGGTGGGATTATGTCGTTTGCTCTTTTGAATTATTTCATTTACATCCACTGTTTTCAGTATTTCCGACTGCATATATCAACATAAAACTTGTAAACAAAAAAACAAAAAACTTTTGTTTTATAGTTTTACGTCCTCTCAATCAAAGAAGTTTTTTATGATATTTTTACTCAAGGGGGCTGATATTTATAGAGGAGTTGGTATTCATTTCAAGTACAGTAGTAATGTATGCTTCAATGTCCCCACCCCAATCCAACAGTCAAAACTTCATCAATCTTCTCTCCAACCAAACTTCTCCAACAGATGATCCCCACACCAAATTCCAATCACCTTAATTAAAGCCCTAAAATTTGTCACCACAAGAACCGTAGCTCAATGTGGCAAACTTAGAGACAACCACACATGATAAGTGATGACTTCAAGAGTTGAGACTCTTAGACCCTACATTGCTTTGCTCTGTCAACCGATTTTCTAGCTTTTGATTTGCAAAATCTAAAGCCTTATCTTCACTCATTCTCCTCCATTCATTTCACCTCTTCCTGTATCTTCCACTATACATCATCACTTCCTTTATTATTATTATTCCACCGTCTCCTACATTTTCTCTTTTTCTTTCCCTTTTTTCTGTTTTGTGTTTTGGGTGTGCGGTGGCTTTGCTTTTTGGTCTCAACTTGAGGTTTTCTCAAAAGGGCTTGAGGATCTTCCAAGAAAAAGGCCTTTAACAGTCTCAAAATTTGATCTTTGCATGCACATGCATCTATTTGAAGCTTGAAAAAAACACAAAAAAAGGGTTTGTATCTTTAAGTGAACATGAAGATTCAGTGTGATGTGTGTGAGAGAGCTCCTGCAACAGTGATTTGTTGTGCAGATGAGGCTGCACTCTGTGCAAAATGTGACATTGAAGTTCATGCAGCTAACAAATTGGCAAGCAAGCACCAAAGGCTCCTCCTTCAGTGCCTTTCCAATAAACTTCCTCCATGTGATATTTGTCAAGTAAATTTCTTTCCTTACTCTTTTTCTGGAATTGATTCTTTGTTTGGTTGATTCTTTTGTAATCTTCTTGTTGAGATTATCGATATGCAAGTATTGTTGTAGAGGAGAAGGCAAAAAAAATATTCAGATCTAATCACATCAAGTGCTAAAGGTGTATTTTACAATGAAATCATATGGGGGCAGGGTGTTGTGTTGTATTTTCTTGTAAATTTTGAAGAAGTATTTGGGATATGATTTGTGGGATTTTTGTGTAGATTAGAGTTAGGCTGCTTTGATTCTTTAAATTTAGCTTCACATGGAAGCTGCTAAAGGTGTTGATGAACTGAAATGAGGAATATTTCTAGAGACTGTAGTTTAAAAGTTTATGATTGTGTAGTCACTTTGAATATCAAGTTTGGTTCCATTTGGTTCACTATTTTTGTGTATTTTGGAATCTTCTTTATGACATCAATAATAATGAAATCATCAAAATTTTATATAATTTATTTTGTCTATCTTGTATGATTTACAGGAGAAGACTGCTTTCATTTTCTGTGTTGAAGACAGAGCCCTCTTCTGTAAGGACTGTGATGAACCGATCCATTCAGCTGGTAGCCTTTCGGCAAACCATCAGCGGTTCCTGGCCACTGGAATCCGAGTAGGTTTGAGCTCTAGATGCACCAAGGATACTGAAAGAAGTAACTCTGATCCACCTAATCAGAGTACACAACAAACTTCTGTCAAAGTGCCTGCACAGCAACCATCAAGCGTTTCATCTCCATGGGCCATGGACGATCTGCTTCAATTTTCAGATTTTGAATCCTCTGGAAAGGTAAGAAAATATATGCATCATCAACTGCCTCAGAAAATATGTATGCACTTAATAAGTCAATATTCTGTCTTTCAAATAATTGTAATTACGGATAACATGCATATAGAAACTTAGCTAATGTTAAATAATTTTGAATCCTTAGAGAAGACAAGGAATCTTCATTGAAGTTTATAGAAACCTCGCTAATTTTAAACTGAAGGTATGTGATCTTAATTGATGTGATAAAATTTGGAGTTCATTTTTGGTCTTACATCATCTATAATTTTGACCATTCACAGTAGTATTCAGCATATTCTTCCAAACATCGAAATACTGAATGCAGAGTTGTCTAGTTGATTATCATGGATGAGAAAATCGAGTCTTAAACTTTCTCATTGTTCTTTTGCTTTGCCTTTAAAATGTTAACATCTTTCTACAATTTATTTTCTTCTCTTTGCAGAAAGAGCAACTCGAGTTTGGAGAGCTTGAATGGCTAGCAGACATGGGACTTTTCAGTGAGCAACTTCCTCAGGAGGCGCTAGCAGCAGCTGAAGTTCCTCAACTTCCCGTCTTCCAGTCCAGCAATGTTCCCTCTTACAGACCGATGAAATCGAGCACGCCGCACAAGAAGCCTAGGATCGAAATCCCAGACGATGATGATGAGTATTTCACAGTCCCGGATCTTGGCTAAACGTACACAAATAAACTCTACAGTGTGAGTCTATAGGTTGATGATCTGCATATATATACACTCATAAGTACATGAACATATGTATTTAGTTACGTATGTACTTACATGTGTATTCGATGTGTTATAATGCATTTTAGGAGCGACAATTCCCTGTTAGCTTAACAGAAAGCATTAGCTTAGTGATTCACCTTTCTTTGTTTTGATCCATCAATATGTGTTTCTGGTTTTTTCTTTTATTTCTTCTTTTGCTGAAATTTCGAATACATGGCGCCACTATGGTGGGGATATTATTCACACTATCCAGTTTAATACTATGCCTACTGTGTGAGTGTAAATGTTGCCTTTCGTTGGATGTGTTTAGTAGATTTGATCAATCAGTCGCTTGTTGAGATGCTTATTGCTCTTGTATTTCCAACTTGAGCTTAACAAAAAGCAGACAGGAATTCAACTAGAGGAATGGTTTCCCACTGTGGGGGGTGTTTAATTAAAATGTCCAAACACGTTGCCCACCCAGCAATTTTTGAAACATCAGGGGTGGTTTATCTTTATTGAGGCCTCCCTTGATGATATAATTGATATTAGATCTCTGGAATACAATCAAACTCAATCAAAAAATCTTGTTGCTACTTTATAAAAAAAAGGGGTAAATTTGTAATGCCAGCATTATGTTGTTTTAACATGATAAATGATGTTCACTAAAACACTACCGTTTTTTAACTAGAGTGTCAGGACAGTTTATGCACACTTTAACTAGTCTTTCGAAGATCTTAAAATTAATTACTAGTAAATCTCTCAATGGTCACTTCTATTAGCAATCGAGGTGGATCGAACTCAAACATCTTGAATAATATATCTAAAAGTTTCTATCGTCTCACTAGCTAACCAAGGGTTATAATGTTTCAATTATGTATAAACAAATACTCTATCAAATAAATACTTTTATTATAAGCTGTATCATAAACGAATAACACTGCCATAAACAAGTTATACATCCAGTTTAACTAATCTTACCACTAAACGATGGATTAAGCCTCAACCCATTTAATCATATCATGTCCAAAATTGCCACTTGTAATGGTTATAATAAACACCAAATGCCGTTTGGCTAGAGAGACACTATGCAAATGCTTAAGGTATTTGGACAGCCCAAGTAAAAAATTTGGAATTCTTTCAATAAATATTAAAATATGCTAGTTTTCAATAAACACGTACTCTTTATTTTTGCAAGAAACCCTATCATGTTTCGTTCTTCCTTATGCTATTTTATCTATCAGGAAACCTGCAAAATTTTCCTGGGGGTTCTGAAAGTAGAGGTAGGTTGAAGGTGCTTACTACCAACTAACAAAACTTTCACAATTTAGGTATCCCAAAGTGTTTCGCATGACCATGCTATTTTAAACATCAACTCTGTTGCAGGTCTGCCATGAATATTTCATGCATCAATCTCCAATCTCAACCCCCTTATAAAGAACCTCTTCACAACTAAACAAACCAACAATCTCTAAACAATTTTAAACACCCTGGAACCACATATGCCTGCAGATATGCCTTCAATCTTTCCATCTGGTTTATATTCCATCGTTTTAACAGCATTTTTAGCTTTGTTTCCGACCATCGCTCATTCAGTCACTCTAGAATCTGATTCTGCAGTTCTTAGTTTGCTTAAGCGTTCCATCGATCCTAACACAATTCCAATATCTTCGTTCCTCGACACTTGGAATCTCTCAGCAGATCCCTGTGAAAGTACATCACAGTTTCTGGGAATTTTATGTACATACCCTGAAGAAGAATCACGTCAACGAATAGTAGCAATTGACCTGGACAGCTTTGGATATGATGGGGTTCTAACACAATCAATAGGAAACCTCACAGAGCTCACCACCCTCAATCTAGGCAGAAACAAATTTAGAGGGCCAATACCGGATTCTATTTCTGGTCTCAGAAAGCTCACCACACTTTCTATGTCAGGCAATTTCCTCAGTGGCAGTATCCCCAGAGGAATAACCATGCTTAAGAAGCTTGAATCTGTAGACCTGTCATACAACACCCTCTCAGGTTCAATCCCTGCCAAACTTTCTGGACTAAGAAGACTAATCCACTTGCGTTTATCACATAATGAGCTCTCAGGCAGAATTCCTGACCTTACAGCGTCATGGCAGCTTGATACATTAGAACTTGACAACAATCAGCTATATGGTAATTTGCCGAATTTTCCGGCAAGTTTGAGGACTTTGTCTCTGAGCCATAATACATTATCAGGGCATATTACACCAATAGGGAAGCTTAAAAACCTCAAATTACTGGACCTGAGTAATAATAGGCTTACTGGTTCCATTAGACAGCAGATTCTTAAATTGTCTCAGGTGGTTCACATTAATGTTTCAATGAACCTCTTCACTGGAATAGAGGTGGCCAAGTTTGTTGGAATAGAAACACACCTTCAAGATTTTGATGCCCATGGGAATATGATACGCAGTCGTTTGCCAGCCAACTTAGTCACCGTCAGCAACCTGACTTCCGTTAACCTGGCTCGGAATGACTTCACCGGGCCGATTCCAAGGGAATATGGGGTGAAAGTGGTCAACTCTTGGAAAAGCTTGTTCTTAGATCATAACTTCTTAACTGGAGATCTTCCACAGGAGTTCAGCAATGCTAGCATCAGGATGAAAGGAAGTCTGGCAAACAACTGTTTAAGGTGTCCTACAAATGTAACATTGTGCCTTGGTGGGCAAAGGTCAACTTCGGAGTGCGTTGGGCTGAATGATGGCTCGGAGTGAAGAATTCTTACACATTCAAAGTACTTGGTGGTTACCTGGAACAAACTTTGTAAACCTGCTTATACCAATTCATTTTAGCATAAAAAATTGGGTAACAATCTAATTTTCAACTCGTAGAAAGTAATAATCCTCAGCACTTTTTCCTTCTTGGTTGATTTTCTAATCATTCATGTTGAATACAATTACAGTATTACACAAAGCAATCTAGATCTCCGATTTTCTTACTTCCAAAACACAATATCTAAAGAAAATTTTTGTCATTGCTAAGTCTGGAAGCACATTATAGTCAGTAATATGAATATAATGAATGAAATATAAGAAAATCAACTGGGAGCCGAATTGCCTGAAACATTTAAAAAGCTGCTATGAACAGGATTCTTTCTCACTACAGTATATAAGAAAATGTTTAAAATAGCCAATTAACAGTAATGTTGCCAAGCCACAAGAAAAGTGGGAGTTGAGCAAAAGCAATAAAGATCAAGAGATAATGATGCCTGCTCGAATCGTGACTTCGCATCTCTGAAAAAAGGACTCTCTTCATCGTCTTCACCAAGAAGATTCCCATGCACATGCACGTCCAGAGGATCAAAAAATAGTAAGAGTAACTCAACAGGATCCTCCCAAGAACAGCCAGACATATTCCTGTGAAAGTATAACCAGCATATGCCACAACGTCCAGCAAGGGCGCCTCCCCACTACCCAATGAAAGCAGAGTAACTTTCAGCAGCATGACTTGCATAAACCATCCAAGCAATCCCTTGACAAACAACCAGTTTAGAGCTTCTGGGCTAAACCTGGCAGAACAAGAAAAGTATTATAGGAAACAGAGCAAATTTAAACAATAAAAGAGCTAAGAAATTTACTTGAAGATGAATTCAGTATCATGCCATTACACTGAAAATTAACCAGACACCAATGGAATAGAGATCTATGTCAACTGTGCTACCCTAATTTATAATTCCTAGCCTTTATGCCATACAGCATATTTATTTAAGAAAAAAGTAACTTTAGACAGTATTAAATTTAAAACTTGAAAGCATTTTAACTTTCAATTTTTAACACAAATGCTTGTTTTACTTCTCTCGAAAAAAAAAAAAAAAAGTGCATGGCTTGACCATGAAGTGTCATAGTTTATGTTTCAATTAGCACTTTACATAAACGTATGTCTTTCCAAAACAACACCAGGAAACAACAGCTAATATTGAAAAACTAAACATGTAAATAGGGAACCAACAACAATAGAGAAGCCGTTTAATATTGAAAAGCTTGACCATACTCACTTTCCTTGAAGACCCAATGCCAAGCCAGCAAGAATAACGTAGGTGCTAAATGCCATAAACGGAATGTACAAATCCGGTGCATTTATATCATAAATTGGTGGCTTATAAGAAAGCCTGCCTCCCACAGGCTCTGTTATTCGCGTCCAATGGCCCTGACGGAGAGAACAATTTAGTAAAAACAATTACTGCAATGCATGTGGGGATAGAAGCCATTACCAAACAGAAGAAAAGATTTAGTGCGTACCCTGTGGAGAAATGGTAAGAGAACAACCTTTATCTTGTTCCTTACATATTGGTCATTCACTTGAAAGTAGTACTGAGGGTCAGAGAAGTACCTACTTATCTGTTCATATTCCAATACAAAATGTCAATCATAACCAGAAGACTTAAAATCATACTTTAAGACTGGAAAAGAAAGAATTTTGCATAGTAGAACCGAAGACAGAAAGGGCGATTCCAGTTATACAAATTTTACAAGACATTCCTAAAGATGCCAGCACATTCCCTTGAGATCATATCTAACCAAGTGTTCCTTATGGCACACATTATTAGGAAAAAAGTAAAAGAGTCCTATAAACTTACATATTACATAAGGCATATAAAAGAAACCAAATTTAGCCTTTCTAGACAGCATTAATAAAATCAGTCAATGCCTCGTATGGCCAAATAATTTTTTTTACAGCCAAAGCTCTAATTAAGAAGTTCAGTAAGCTGCAGTGAAACATTCCAACAGACTAGGAGCCTATTGTCCCAGCATGTTTGTGGGCAATATGAAACTTGAATCACAAACTATATATAATTCAATTTTAGAGTAACATCATTCAGCTTCATTCAGCTTACTATATAACTTTTCCCACAGCTTAGATCAGAACGGTGTTTCAAATAAACAATAGCCTTGGCAAGCTGCTTACATTGCTTTGTACATACTCAGAGCTGGACCCTAATATTTTTTCTCCATATGCACCCAATCCACCTCTAATAAGTCCTGAACCAGCTCCGTAAAATGAATTCCCAAATGGACTGGGCTGAGTGTTTGTTGGGGGTCTTGGCACCCCAGGCTGCGGTCCCACATTGTTATACATTTCTGTAACCCAAAAAAAAAAAAGAAATTCAGAAAATTTTTGTTGACGGCAAAGCCTTTTTGGCATCTAGCATCTGTTAGAAATTGAAAAACTATTTGAAAGACGTTTTATAGTCCCATATTTCAATTTCATATTAGAATGCACCACCTCTCAACATTTCTAAAATTTCTCTCAAGCCGTAAATTCCAAAACAAACATATGGATACTGAGCAAAACTTCTCGGAAGACCTTCTTTATAAATCAAATATAAGAATCATTACAGCATTGGATAACTGAAAATGTTGTTAGAAAAAATAGCATTATATAATTATAAATTTTTAAGGTTTAACCTCAGACCAGGTAATAAAAATTAACCTTGATCCAAAGAATTAACTCTAAACCTAATAATACACTCATAGCATTGAATCAAACAAATAAAAGAACCAAATTCTTTGAAATAGCATTAGCCACAGATTCACCAACGTTGTTGCTAGGGTACCCTTTAATGTAATACTTTCTTTCTTTCATTCATTCATTTATTAATTTTTTTTCCCTTCAGGACCTAGCTCCTGCATCACTTAGACTTTATCTAAATACCGCAAATCAGTTACTTTAATTAGAAAGGAATATATCAAAGCAGAAAACAGTCAAATCCATGAATTCAGAAAGTTTCTCATTTAAATGTTTTTCATTATCACAACTTCTAAGAAATAAATGCAACATACGTTATTTAAAGAAACAGAATCAAACACATAAGTAAGAGAGAGAGAGAGAGAGAGAGAGCAAGAATCTGAAACCATTCCCAAAGCAAAACCGATTCCAAATAGTTGTCAAACATTCTTTAACAAAATTACACCTAACTACAGTAACTCTCCTTAGACATTAAACAGTTCAAACAACATGTAAAATTCAAATCAACTTCATCACTTATACCACCCTTACAAATCAACATTGAGCTCTAACAAAGTGTTATCCTATTGTAACTTTTAATCCTATTGTAAGTCACAAACCTTTACTCAAAAAGCAATAAGACAAGCTCCAAACCGTCCATTTATTCGAATGCAACGATTCTAACAGTTACCAAGTCTGCAACAATAAACCCTACCCTCTAGCTCCAACTAACTAGATTTCCCTAAAATTACAAATTTAACTCCTATTTGAGTTAAATTTTCAAGTTCCATACTAAACCCCTTACAAAATGCATAACTTATAAACAAAAAAAACCCACTTTGTATCTTCCTATTTACAACTTTTTACCCTCAACAAGCTACAGGAACAAAAACCCACTACACAAATCAGACTGAAAACCTCACATGAACAAACAAATGATGCAAAAACTTCACATTCTGATAACAAAAAAATAATAAATAAATAAAACAACTTTAAAAGAACCCATATCACTAAAACGTCAAGCAAACATGTCCCAATCCATAAATTTCAGTTTTTGAACATCTAAGAATCTAAATTAAAAAATCAAACAACAGATCAAGAACATATTCGCAAATCCTAATAGAATAAAACGAAACAAAGTTTGATTTGGATCTGGGAAAGTGACCTTGAAGATCAGGTATCGTCGGGTTTCACGGCGGAATATCGGAGCTCCGGTTGGGTTGACTTCGCGGCGGGGTGCTTTGAAGTCGATGAAACGACGTCGTGATGGAGACAGTGAAAACTGAAAACGGTGAGCGAGAGCGAGTATGCGTACAGGAAGAAGAGAGAAGCAATAAAAAGGTTAAAAAAGCGAAGTGGGAGTGTCACGTGATTCTCGCGTGCCAGCCGCTCTCATGTTTCTTGCTCTTGCATCATTTAACCACTCACAAATTAGAAACATATTAATAATTAAAAAAAAAATATATATATATATATATATTTTTCAATGATAAAGTACATACATATAATATGTGTACATATATATAAATTAAATTAAAAATGCTAATCGCTAAACTTGCTATATGTTTAATTAACCATATATCTTAAGATAGATTTGTGATATGAATTATAAGGGGTCTGTTTGGCAAGCTACTTTCCCACTATCCTATCCAAAAAACCCAAAAATGCATTTGTTTTAATATTCTAAAAATCCAATTATATTTTATTCAACTCAAAATATTAACAATTACCTTTCTCAATAAAATTTTAAAATTGACAAAAACACTCTCACCCACCCAAGCCACCATCACCCGCCAACAGCCACCTCTGTTGTGGTTGCCACCGCCAGTTGCCACCTCCGTTGTCATTGCCACCGCCAGTTATTATTGTTGTAACAATACACGACTAGCTGGATCTGGTCGGTCGAATGCCGATCTATCCGTTTTTGGCTAGATCTACAACCAAAGATCTGGTTGTTGACCACCACATATGGTCGTTGATGACGACCATATCTTGGTTGTAGTTGACGCCAAACAACAGGTCAACGACTACTAGATCTATGGCCATGGATCTGGCCAGAAAAAGCTAGATCTAGCCGATCGTGCACCATTCCGGCCACCTTCCGACGGTGGTGGCCGGCTGTCGACAATATGTGAGTCGGTAGGGTGTTTTTATCAATTTATAAACTTTTATTATGGGGTGTTTTGTTAAATTAACAAACATAGAAAGTTAAAAATAATCTAAATAATTTCAGAAAATGCTATTCAGAAATGTACCAAAAACTTCTCAAACTCCTACCCTATTTTCCAAAAAGCTATTCAACATAGAAAGCTATTCTAAAAAACCAACCAAACGGAGCCAAAATTTATATTGGGGAGATTACGACACGATAGACAACCCTTAAAGATTTTAAATTTATTATTCGGATGACAACTTTTGTATTTTTTATCATAGACTACCCTCAAAGTTTGAAAGGGTATCATGGATGTCTCTTTACCCTAACTTCGTTATTTTGTCGTTGGTGGTTGATAGGTGAAATGGTAATTTTATAAAAAAAACCATCTTGCAAATGTACTAGTAATGACAATCTGATAGGACTAGTGCGAAAGAGTATCTGTGATAAAAGTTTTCAAACTTTAAGGGTTCATTTAATAATGCAAATACAATTTCAAACTTTTAAGGTAATTCATGATAAAAAGTGAGAAAGTTGTTATCGAAATGATAAATTTGAAAACCTTAAATGAGGATTTGATTTAGAGAATGTTGTATTATTGAGAATTTCTATTATAATTAAGTCACTATAATATATTTGTTTGTAATTTTTTTATTCAGTGTTTGTTTTTATAAATTTTAAATATCTGAAAACTAATATTTTTATATAAATATTTTGTCAATATTAATTATGATATATATTTATAATTTGTGTTTCAAAGCATGAATTTGATAAAATATAATGAAAATATTTTAAATTTGCAACTAATTCGATTTTTTTTTTTTTTTTTATTATGGGTATTTACTATGTCAGCTATAATGAAAGTAAAATAAGAGCACAAATAAAATAAGTTAATAGAGATTAATGTTTTAATGGGTATGATTGGAATTTAAAAATTAGAATAGATATTTTTTTGGAAAAGTCATTTAAATTGAAAGACGAAATGTTTAGTTTTCTTTCATATATCTTAGATAATCAAACTATCATTTTAAAACCCGACCCATTATGAGACTCGGCAAGGTGACCGGGTCATAGGTCAACCGATCCAACCGATTGGACTGGGAATGTCAATAATAAAAATAGTTTTAAAAAACTTTGAATTAATCCTTTAAATTTTAGTATATTACAAAATACCCCTAAAAATGCAATTAGGCCCTAAAAACTTAATTTATTTAAAAATGCTCCATTTTAGTCCCTAAAGTTTTGAAATATTACAAAACACCTCCAAAAATTACAGTTAGTCCCTACAAGTTTGAAAAATAACAAAACCCCTCTAGAACCTGAAACAGACCGAGGAGACTGTCAGGTCCAGGTCCGAGTCCGAGTCCCAATCCGACCAATTGGTTCGATCCAGTCAGAGTTTTAAATAGAGGATCAAACCAACAACTCATAAATATCTTAATATAAAATAATCACTTTTTCTAAGTCTTCAAGTGAAAATAAACATGCCCTAAAGCATGTATTATATAGATAATTAAAGATGATGAATATATTAAATAATGCGACAAATATGAACGTGAATTGATATGATAAATAATATGGTAATGTGTAGCGATGATCTAGAAAATTATGGATAAAGGAAGGTAAAGTGTAATGTTTAATAAATGAAAAGGAATAAAGCATAAAAATTTATATTAAAAAAATTGCATTTAAAAGGAGAAAATATAAAATTTAACAAATAAATTTTAATATTTGAGGGTATTTTAGGAAATTTAACATTTTCTGGTTAGTAAGGTTTAAAGTTTGGAAAGATAGTTAATTTTGTTTAACCCCTCCATTTCTGGTTCATTTTTTAATATTTTTATTAAAAAAAATATTTTCAAATAACTAATTTTTAATCAGTCTCATCACTTCTACACGTGTAATTTGGACACTTCCACAATTAGAATTGCAAATGACATTTTAACCCCGAACCTCCACTTCCATGAGTTCCATTCTTTCTCCGCTGTAATGCGTCAGAGTTCCAACCCGATTTTCCCCTTAAACTGATTGCTTTGAAATGGAAATGGAGGAAACACTGAAGATACTGAACAGCTCTCTCTCTACTATCAAGTGGCGCCTCAAATCTGCAGCCAAGCTTCGTCTCGAAATCGGTACGGTTCTCTTCTTCTTTCAGTTCTTCATTTTTCCCCACTATCTTCAATTGAGTTCTTCCTCTTTTTTTTTTTTTAAATCTGTATTATTTCTCCTGTCGTTTGGTTTTCTGGGTACCTTTCGAAATTCCAACTTTGATTAACTTTCTGGGTGTTTCTGTTTTTGCTTGGTTTTAAGCTTTTGGAGTTCATTTTCAATGATTTTGCAGAAATATACTTCTAGTCATTCTATGCACTTGCTCTGTAGAATTCAAATGTTCAACATTTATTATTGAATAATACTAGAATCCGCAGTAGTATTATGAAATTTTCATTCCAAATGATGTATCTTATTGTGATAAGAAGTTGAGACATTGACATGTAAATGATAAATTTATACATAAATGATATGGTAATGCCTTGTAGGATACTTTGTTGCTCAAAAACTTTGAGATACTACTTTTAATGTGTAGAATTACTCTTTAGCAATCATGCATTCCATGTTACAAATATTATGATTTTGTTCAATTTTTTACATTAACATTTTATATGATATTATGAATATGATGTTAAACACTACTAACCTGTCGTACGGACATCGCTTAGTCTTGGTAAACTGGCATTCTGTAATATTAGTTTTTATTGATGGAAAAGTGAAGGAAGTAAGTCAAGAAGATTTTGAGGTCATTGTGATTGATGATGTTTTGGTTTGTGAAATATGAGAATTAGGTTTTAGCTTTCATGTTGGTTGTTTTTCTTTCATTTTCCAGAAAAAAAAAATGGTACTAAAGGAATTTAGAGCTATCCGAAGTTTACTTTTGTTATTATAGTCAATGCTTTTTCTCAATGATAGGAATAGTCGATGCTTTTTTTTCTATGATAGGAGTACTCGTTTCTGATTGATGAAATATTTTTAAGCAATATTTTGGCGTTTACTTAATATTCTAAGTTAAAGAAATTCATGGCTTTCACATATTAAGGTGTTAGAACTATTTTGTATGCTTACTAGTTTTGTCATATGGAAATGAATTCACTTGCATGTTTTCATGATTAGGTGGATTTGTTTTGCAGATATTCTAGCATTATGCACTGGAATGCGGCCAGTTATAATGGTAGACTACGGTGGGAAGATGCCTGAACTGCAAGAATATCTATGTGCACTTCTTAAACTTTGTCAAAAGGTTTGACCATACTTTCTCAGTAGATAGTTTGACAATTCAGTCAGAGTTTTGCACACTGCCTTTATTTCAGCATGTGTTCATTTAATGTTAATTTTGGCTTTCTATGTGGTTGGTTGAATAAAAGGATATATCGAACAATACAATAATTTTTTCATTGACAAAAAAGCAACAGTCTGAGAATTGAAGAAGCCCCTAAATGGAATTAAACATTTCTTATATGTTGCTGTGAAACACATGTGCTTGATTGGTGCATACCAACATATTTGTGGGTTTGATCCATTATAATCAAATTTATTCCATTACTCCTGTATTATTTGTAGTAAGCATCTCTTCTTGGGGTGGTAATCTGACGAGAAAGTAACGGGGAGGTATTTCGGGAAGACGTTAATTTTTTATGGGGTAGTGTTCACTTTCTAGCTTCTCTCTAGGTATTAGCAACAAACAAATACTCTAGATATTTCTTTTTCCTTTAATATATGAAGGGTTAGGATATTGTAATATAAATATTTTATGTAAAAGTTTGACAGATTGATTCGTCCATTTATTATAATCTAACAATAGTTAATTGAAACAAAAAGATTGCTTTCGTCATTGTCAACTCAGCAACTCTCTGAATGGTTGGATTGGTTCAGTTTGGTGAAGTTGGTGTTGATGCACAACGTCATCATTATGCTTGTTGATAATAAGGGTCTTTCTTTTTGTTCTGTTTATTGGGAGTTTATTACCTATTTAGGACTTATATTTCCTCCATTTCAGGAGTCACCTGTTTTTGAGGATCTAAGAGTAATGATTATAGAAGATATGATATACTTGATTAATGTTAAAGAACTCGCTGAGCATGTTAGCTCAAGCTTGATTTCAGAAGCTGAATTGCAGTTTGTGGACCTAGAACAGGATCCCCCAAAGGTTGCTCCCTGCTGTAGGCTTTATTATTGAAACTTTCATTTTTCACTTTTTAATGTGCAATTTCTTTCCTCTTTAGTAAAAATTTTTCATTTCTATTCCAGATGATAACAATAACTGAAAATAGCTCAGTGGGAATGCAATTAATATCAGTTCAGAAGCTGTTCTTGTCATTTTTCCCACTCGATAAAATGAACAATGATGTTGCGTTGTGTAACAGAATAGATGATAAGTCTAAATCTCAATCATCCGATAAGCCTGTTGCTTCTCAATCTTCTGAAGTTATTGATCTCAGTAACTGCTTGCATGATACTCAGGTTACTGTGCCAACTTTGAATGGGTAATTTCTTAACCTCATCATCACATGAGCATGTATATCTCACGAGAGATGAGATCACTGTGTTATACATATCTCCCCTGATCTGGCCATTTCTTTTATGGGTGTTTTTAGCTTTGGGGAAGTTGATATGAATGTGAAATATCAATGGCAATGTAAGATGTTTACACTGTTTAGTGAAATCAGTACTGGAATGAGTACCATAAATCCTACTATTAATCCAAGCAAGTATGGAACCTGAAATGGTTGTGGACTGCCTGAAAGGTTGCCCATAACCATAGTTAGACTTAACCTGTTTAGCTGGAAGTATTACATAAAATTGCTGCTTGTGTCATTATTATATCCCAGAGCAATAAATCATTTGTGTATTTCTGTTAAGAAGAATGGTTCATAAATCATGTGACATATACCAGTAGCTTCTTGTTGTAATAGAAAAGCTAATTTGTACCATGCTATTGTCATCTTATAATAGTATAAAACTGGCTTTTCGTGTTTCAGATGGCTTCTTGGTTATCCAGTAGTGTATTTGTTCGGCATAGATCATATTGCTGATGCTATTTATAATCTTTCAACCAAGTCTCTTCGTATCTTCAGAATTGTAGTCAGCAGGTTTGTTGTTTTTCGTACTTATCTCTGAACTTTAATTTGCATTGCTATTTTGCTACAATCCGAAATATCACTTTAATCACTCACTAAATGTTAACTAGTGGTCCATTATCAATGTCAAGCTCTCCTGGAAGTTTTATATTCTCTTTTTCGAACTTAATGTTCCAATACACTAAAATTGTTTTCGTCTTTTGTTGATATGCAAAGAGTGAATTTATCTCAAAAGTTAATGTACTCTCAAATTTACTGGGAGGCACACGTGTTTACAGTAATCCTCTTGATCAAAAGCAAATCAAGCTGTAAAATGATGCTGTGGAAACTGATTTATTGAAATTATTTCCTTGGCGACCTCTAGGATTTATCTGACAAAAAGGGGTGATAGATTTGTCTAGCGGTCTCTATGTGAACATTTACTTTATATTAGTGGCTGCCTGAAGTAAGTTCCCTCGTCAAGCAATTCATTAGAAGTAGTGTAAGATCGTTACTGAGTCTGAAACTAATGGTTTTCTGATGACAAAGTTCGCTCAGTTTGCTAATTTCAAAGTTGTACTGTTGCAGGAATGGACCTCCTAATAAAGGATCTCTGCCAGAAGAACTAATGAGGTAACGCTTTATTCCATGCTAAATTTTAGGTAATGGGGATATTTTGATGTTTGATTACCTTCCTGTCTCATCTCGGTTCTTTCTTGGGTTAATAAGGCTACAATTTCTAGTGAGATACTTTTGGTGCTTTCTTCTAATGATTTGCATCCTCCTATTTGATAGAAATTGTTGTTCTTGTAATAGTCATTGTATGGCTGTCATTCTGAATCTCTTGTAAAGCGGACCCCATTCTTGCGTGATTGCTAATATTCAGAAATGTTAAGAGAAATCTTTGCCGAAATAATACATTCTTGCCGAAATAAATGTGTAATGCCTTGGGATATGGTGATGGTCCAATATTTTCGTATCGATATTTGTACATGTGTAAATCAATTTTTATGTGAAATTTGATGGACAGCTTCTCAGTGCCTTATGATCTAAGCATGGGAGGAAGCAAAGAACCATGGGCAGAGATGTTTCTGTCTAAGATGCAATCAAAATGGGGTAAATGCAAGCAAACTTGGAGGACCTTAAAGATGGAGGTTAGCGAATGCTTTCCACAAGCGATCGCATTATAGGTATGACCTAACCCCAATCAAGAATTATGTATAGTATTAGAGACTTATCATACTATAATTTGTGAATCAACAATGCATAGAATTTTGCATTTAGCAGGGGAGGTGTATAAATTTCTCTTAATGCTGTGGTTTTTTCAATTTTACTCTTCTCTTAACTAGTCAAGTTAAGCTTGTTCATCTAGTGACTTAGCTTGATGCAACAAAGAAAATGTCACTTCATTCAGAATGCGAATCTGAAAATTGGAATGCAAACTTGTCGTTATTCATTAACAAAACATGAAGGTATTTCATATATTTATAGATGATAGATGGGAGTCTTTTCTATAATGAAGAGCAAGAGGGAAGATATAAATGAGGATTTTGCTATGTTACTAGGAACCACAAGTCATAGGATCCAAAAATGGAAGTTGTATATGCTCAAGCAAGCAGTAGATATTGTGAAGGGCTACATTCCCGAATCCGTTGCGTTGTGTTATCAGTTCATCAAATTTTGTTGAATTGAAATCTTGAAATAGAATGGAGTTGTGTTACTGGAATAGCATTATTCTCTCCGCTTACACTTAGATGATGATTCAATCAATTTTAGGAGGCAGAAAGTGATTGACTAAAATGGCAAAATTTTATTTTTAATTAACTAAAGCCTGAGAGCTCAAGTCTTTTCATCATTACATGCATGGACAAAGACCCAAAAAAATGAAAGCAAAGAGGGTGAGAAAATTTGAATGCCCTCTTTCATTGAAATCCAGAGCAAACAACAAGACAAAAATAAAAATAAAAATAAAAATGAAGAATTAAAATTTTTGTCTATGCCCCTTTGATTAAGCTGAGCACATCAGCCTCTGTGGGAAGAGCTGGAATTGCTCCCTTTTTGGTAGTTGTTATGGCTCCACATGCATTGGCAAATTTAAGTACTTCTCTCAACCTTGCTTCATCCTGCAAAAAGTGATAAACGTAGGAAGAGAAAAAGTTAAGAGACTAATTTTATTAGCAGATACCTGACTATCGGATTGACTTAGATTATCTTAGGGCAATTACTTACCTCGAGAACAGATTGATCATCGACAATCTTGCATAGTAAAGCGCCGATATATGAATCACCTGCACCGGTTGTATCTACAGTGTTGACATGGAAAGCTTCCACTGATCCTTTGAAAGCCTACATTTGAGCAAATTTGAAGAATGAATTATTAGAGTATTGAAAAGAAAATCCAACCACTGATCCTTTCATTGCAAGTTTTACCAACACAAACAGCTTACATTTGGTTAAGTAATTACCAAGTTAGCTTAGATTTTTATCAGACATTGGTTTGATTGTGATCATTTTGGACACAGGCTTTTGGATTTTAAATAAATGCAGGACTGCTTTCATTAAAATAAAACTTCAAGGTGGGGCAAAGATCCAACTCACCTACCACTTGCATAAAAAACATAAACAAACATATACAAGTCGGTTGTGGGGCTTTGACTTACATATACATGACTATCACAGTGAATTCATGTTTCACAAAAACCTTTAACAGCCTGTCCTTTAGTGGCATCTAAGGGACATTAAATAATTGTTATATTCAACAAGAAACCTATTCTAATAGACTTTTCCATGGTGCTGACTAGATTTCATGTCTCTATATCGTTTATAATCAGTTTACATAGATAAAAAATTACCCATTAACGAAAAAATTCAAACACAAATCTACGAAAACATCCATGCAAACACAATTTGCCAGTTGGGTCTAAAACTCACAGCTACTAACTTGTTACAGCTAGAAGTCCATGACACTATCACAGTGAACTTGGTTTTCACTAAAATATAGAATAACAGCCTGTCCTTTAGAGCCACATAAAGGACTTCTCCTAATTCTAACCTAAATTAAGAAAATTGCTTTGTCTTAACTAATATAGGATGGCCATCATTTCTATATTTTTAAAGAGTTAGCTACACATTTTTTTAAGTTTATTTCAATGCCAAAAATTGGGATCTAGAGTTACTTGTGCAGAAAACAAAACAAAACCAAAAATTCAGACTTAATCTAGTTGATTCATACTCAACTAATTATACAGCTGGTGTAAGAGGGCCTATACATTCATTTCTGTCTAAAAATTAACAGCTACTAACCCATTACAGCTAGAAGTCAAAATTTTAGGCAACTAACAATGATTCATACTTCACCCAACACAACCACCTATGAGAGGAGAGATTAAGTTAGCATACCTTAGTATAGTACCTACAACCATGTTCACCAAGAGTGACCAAGAGGAGCTTCAAGTTAGGGTGCCATAGTGACAAGGCAGATTCATCATCAATCTTGTTGCTGCCGGTGAGGAACTCCAACTCTACATCACTGACCTTGATCACCTCAGCCTTGTCCCAAATGCTCAAAATCTGTTCACGCGCCTCTTCAGGGGACGGCCACAATGGCAGCCGGAGGTTTGGGTCGTAGGAGAGGAGGGCTCCTGCATCCTTGGCAACCTCCATCGCCTTTAGGTGAGCCGATCTACATGGCTCCACAATCAAGCTTATTGATCCATAATGGAAGACCTTAGCCTGCCAACATCAAAATAAATTTTACTCAAAAATTAAACCAAGAAAAATTAAAAGATAATGTATCCCATGTGGGTGCATTAGTCAAAAAAAGAGGTTAAAAATCACAAGAAACTAATAAAAGTCAAAGTTGCACATGGGTATGAGAAAAGTTTAAAAAACAAATAAAAGCAAGTAAAATGGAAAATAAACCCTAAATATGCAAATCTCAAATTCATCATAACACAAACGTGTTTTTGAAAAATAAATTCAGTAACTTAGGAGTGATATCACAAAAACACAATTTTAAGGTAATAAATCCAAAATCTATAAACTAGTAACTTAAAATCGAGGAATATTTCAAATAAAATAAATATCATAAAAACACGAAAATTAGAATTGATTCGATTTTTGTTTTTTCTTTTTTATATTAGGCGCGTGGGATACGATAAAAAAGGAAAGAATCCCGAAGGGCCCACAAAAGGAATAATGGAATCCAGGAAAGACGACAATTTCTAGGTAATAGAACTGAGAGAAGGCTTCAAGATTAGATCTGAAAAAAGCATGGACCCGCACCACACGGTGGGCCTACTTTAGATGGGCCACACTTTCTAAAACGTGACGTGTCATTGTACCGTCATCGATAGCACGTGATGTCGCCTGTTCATCACAGAGAGATTTTGATCGCGCTGGATCTCTTCGAATCATCATCATGATTAGTCATGCCTCGTGTAGGCCCCACCGTGGTTCCGTTCACCGTGCCGTCACGCTAGCACCTCCATGATACTGACTAGTTATAATAATTGAAAGGATATTTTTAAAATTTTTTTTTTTTTACCATAAAGAAAAAGAAATTTAGAATTTTTAAGACACGTCACCGCACGCCAAAGTGAGAATCTCAGACAGAGATCGATGAACCGCCCGTGAGTTTATCATCTCTCTCAAAAAGTCCAAAGTCAAGATTTTTTTCACACAAAAATTCTACAACGAGAAAATACGTGAATTGAGGTGATCCACACAGCAGTTAACGGACACGACCCACCAACCGCGCGTGAGCGACAGAATTCAATGTAAATTTCACACACACCCCAAGATTTTTCATGATAAATTATAAACAACCCTATCTCAGTAGTCATGAAGGGGGGGCTTTTGTAGTCAAAATAAACCTCAAGGGACTCGAACGATATTTTACAAATAAAAACTTACGGATTTGATGAGCTCCAGATTCAACTCGTCCGGCCTCAACAGCATGTCAGCACTGGGATTCCTATAAAACATAAACTCACGCTCGCCATCGGCGCGTAGAGTAACGAAAGCGAGAGCGGTCCTGGCACCTTGGTCAAAGTTGATGCCATCGCCACTGACGCCATTCTCCTTCAAGATCCCGGCCAGCATGTGGCCGAACTCGTCGTCGCCGAGCTTGCCGACGAAGGCTGCCTTGCCTCCGAGGCGAGCCACGGCGATCGCGACGTTGGCGGGGGCGCCACCGGGAGCCTTGAGGAAGCCGGGAGCCTCGGCGAGGGAGACGCCGGAGACTGTCGGAACGAAGTCGATCAACATCTCCCCGAAGGAGACGATGAGACCGGAGCCGGTAACAGCGCAGTTTGAAGCCATTGGAGAGAAGGAAGGGGAGAGTCTGACCACGAAGATAGAGAAAGAGGGAGTGATGAAGAGAGAGAGAGGTTTTTGAAAGCGAGAAGAGAAGATTATTTATAGCGGGAGGGGAGGGTGGGTGGGTGCCGAGAGAGGTAGAGAGTCTATGCTTGGGTTTAATTACTGGGAGTTAAGAGGGGTTTATTGGGAAAGAAATAAAATTTGTTTGTGAGATGTTGCGGGAATTGTTACCTTACCGTATATCCCAGCACTTACAGGGACAGAGGGTATAGTATGATTAAATTTGGTAGGTTAATCCAATAAGAATATTTTGATTGATATATTGTCATGTTATTAAGGAAACGTTAGATAAATTATTAGAGCATACTCCAAATATTTAGGTATAAGGTAAAAGCTTTCTTGGATTAGACTATGATTCAAAAGGTGGTGAAATTCGATCAGGTTATCTGTTATATTATTAAGATAATGTACAAAAAGATGATTAGGATGATTTTGAATTAAAGATAAATTAAAAATTATTACATATTAAACATGTATAATTATCACATAAAAGGTAACGTTACTTCGATACTGTAAACTTAGTTTAGAGGATGTTAAGATGGATGACGTGTAATTTTTATATTTATCTAATAAAGATAAGGTAATTGTTCTAGTTCTAGTGGGCTTTGTGGGACCCACTTAATAAGATTAGAATAATGAGAGCATTAAGAGGACCCTCATTATGAATTGGAGAATAATTATTAATTGTGCTTATCTTATTATTTAATATCATATCATATCATATATTATTTTTTACTATTAATCATAAATAACTTTATTTTGTTGGTAATTACAATTAACTTAAAATACTCTGAATTAATGTTGAAATCAATGCCTTAAATTAAGGGTTAAGATTCTTAAGAATATTGAATGTATATTATTTAATTATAATCCTTTTAAGTTAAATTCTCATTTCATAACATTGAATGGAATTCTTTCAATTTAATTTGTACATTATTTTATACATTCCCTTTCATGTAAAATGTTATCTGAATTCTAATTTTATTTCTTTCCAATTTCGAAATTATATATTAATGCTTTAAGAAGTGATAGATCCAAGAATTTATGTTAGGATGAGCCAAAATAAAAACTAATTATACATTAATATTTTTGTTGGAGTGGACTAAAATATAGAAATTGTATATATTAATAATTTTTTGTAAATCCCGCCTCAATTAGAGTAGCATATGTCCCTCTGGCTTTGAGCGTCTAAAGAAAAGCACAAATAGAGTAGAAAAATCAACCTATTAAATGATAATAAAAAAAATATACAAATTTATATTTTCACAAAAAAGAATTCAATTTTCTTCTAAAATAAATAAAATAATTTCGTATAAAAAATAATACTACTAACTAAATTAACGTTAAGAAAGAGTAAATGAGTTATTAGCCTATCTCAACCCTCATTCATCGTATGCAAATATCCATATTTTCAAAAGAAAAAACAAAAGTAAACAACATTCACGACGATGGTTCAAAAGTGATACTTATTCGTTACCATATTGAAAGACAACGTTACTTCCATTTAATAACGGCCAAATAACCTCTTTAGTTCTTGAAACGTGTATAAGTAAGTCATCCGAATGTTATTATGAGCATAACGGCACCCCAACACCAGTAATATAAGATGAGCTAACATTTTAATTGGTCGAGGGATTGGTGGGTCACTATCATCCATGGTTTCATCAAATAAAGTGGCTAGTGATCAATTTGGTGTATACATTGCAACAAATAGAGTTGGTGGTGGAGATCAATTATTATTTTAACAATACTTCTCATCTAACATTCTTGCTTTTTGGGGTGTTTTTGCAAAAAATATTAACTTTTTTGCAAACTACCCCCTAGCCCCAACCACTTCACCACATTCACCCCCACACCAAATTATGAATATAAAAATAAAGTGTTCATTTATGAGAAATATCTCGCAAGCCCCTACTCTTTGCATTTATTTTGTTTGATTATTAGTTTATGAAAATTTATTCGATAAAGTTGACAGTTGATTGAATCAGTGAAATTTTCTTTAATACCCTTGTCTAGAATGAGGATTTTGTTAAGGCACCTTAGAGGAAATGTTACCCTCTCCCTTTCTGAGTTATTGTATGGTCGCTATTCAATGGTCTATAAAGGAGGGGTAACATTGCCTCCAAATACATGTTAGTTGATTATATTGATTTTACCTTCCGTATTAATAAACTAAATTAACACATGTTATTTCGATATTTTCTGTGTAATTTATAGTTTATTCTCTCTATCTCTTTCATTATAGTTCTCTATAACTATTTATTCAAGCTTTAGAAAGAAAAAACACATCTTTGAGATTAAAAATTTTCCTATTGTAGTTATAATTATAATTGTATTTATATTTTATAAACACTTATCGAGAATGGTTTATTATTGCTACAATGTTTACATTGGTGAGGAGGGTACAATGAGAAATTATTTGGTACCATATGGATCTAAGTGATAGTTATAACATCTTGGGAGAGACTAATGTTATTTTCTATTAATTTAATACTATAGTCTATTGATTGTTATTTTCTATTGGACTATACTCATTGTCACTTGCCCAACTTTACTCTTATTTATATTAATTAATTTTCAATTTTATCTAATTAATTATAATTCAAGACGTCAAGTTTCACGGGTTTATTTTTTATAATAAACATATGGTCCTTAAACATTTTATTTATTTAATATGATGACAAAATCTTTTAAATGTCTTCTTTAATCTTCATATAAATTATATGTTTAATTCTTGATTTGTTACAATGTCACATGGTGTTCTTAAAATATTGATTAAAAAATTTTGTATCATTCAAATCCTATTGGCCAAATAAAACTTGGATCTCTACAAGAATAAGCATACAGTGTGCTAATTAAAACCATTAAAGTCTCGTTGTTTTATGTTTATATATTTTATATTCAAAGATTTAGGGTTTCTTACTATTATTATTTATAAAAAAAAAAAAAAAGAGTTGATCAGTATTTGTTTATATTGATGTTAGAAAGAATGAAAATTCATGACATTAAGTTGCACCCATCATGGGTATAATTCAAATATGAATTGGAAATAATGTGGATAAACACATATTTTAACATAATTTTTTAGTTTTAGATGAATCAATTGCACGGTTGAGATTGCATTTAAGTTGTGTCATTTCTTATGAAATATCCATTATCCAAAAATCTTTGATTGAATAACTCAAAAATTGCTCAATAATTTCAGTAAAAAAAAGTGGCCTGGTTCAACTGGACCATTTTTATGATATATAAATAGCCATTTACCAAATTTTGGTAGAAATATTGAATTTTTACAAGTCAAAGTTATGAGATTAATTTGTTTAATAAGAGGCATTTGCCATATAATTTCTCATATCATATGTTATTTTTTTTTCTCTTATTTATCCTCTAATACTAATATTAAAATTTAAATCTTCTTTATATAAAATTTATTAAATTGTTGTGATGATGGGTTACATAGTTTGGTCACATTAAACTTAGTCTGCAAAAGTTTTGACAATGCTCAAACTTGAAACTCCATATATAGTAATGTATATTACAATATCTGAATAAATAAAGATACGCTAATAAACACTTCTTACAAACATTGTTGTGGTAATTCGTAATTGGTCAGCTCGTATTTAGCAGGCGGCAAGATCTATTATGAGCTGACCAATCACGAACTGACACGTTGCGTTTGTGAGAGAAAGTTATTGAGAAGGGTTTGTGAGTGTAGTATTACTGTATCTGAATTCTTATGTGTAAATTGTTGCATTTTTTTTTTTTAATAGCCAAATTTTCTTACGTCAAGACTATAAAAGTTTGATTAAAATTTCGTAAATATGTTTTGAAAATCAAAACTATGACAAATGAACTCGTGAATGAGAATGATTTATAGAATTTTCTGTAAATCATATATCATATGTTATGGCACTATGAATTTACTTTTATTTAAAAAAAGAAATAACGTTCACACTTTCAATTTGATATATAAATTATTATCTAATAATTTTTTATTTTTATATTAAAGTGTTCTTATCTAAAATCCATATATATACGCACACACTAAAATGGTTAAAGTTTCATTATCTTTATCACATTTGTATATTCCCAAAAGCACCACCTCATAAGATTATTCAATAAATAATACTATTCATATCTCTAATTATTCCCTAAAAGCACAAACAGTATCTCTCTTTCTCTAAAAAGAATTAGAAAGAATGCCTACCAAAATCTCAAATCTAAAAAGCTATTAATATACATATGACAATTGGTTTTTATGTACTAAAATAATTGGTTTGTCTTCTTATACCTAAATTCCATCATATGGTTCACAAGAATTTTTTTTTTAAAAAAAAAAAAAAAAAAAAAAAAGTATCTTCTAAAAAATATTGTTCATTTTAGGTTTAAACATTTATTTTTGAGCTTCACGCAAGTATCCTTCACCGAAAGGATAGGTACATTTAGTGATGAAAACTCAACCTTTATAAATTGAGTCCTAGACTCATCTATTTGGCAATGTGAGATGTAACATAATATATGTATATAAAGTTAACAATGAATCATGTTATATCTGGATATATGCATCACCCATTTACATATTCCTAATTAAAAAACTATAATTTAGAAAGGCTATTATAAATGTGCCAACCTTATAAATTGGAAATATTGCATGGTGGGGTGCATGCTTTACTTAAAATTTTGGTCATATTTTGTTACAACACAAGAGACATTAAATATAAAAGAGAAACCCACCTGGAGGAGGACCCTTTGCTATTTAGAAATTAAAAAAACAACTTGAGATGAAGCTATGATTTTATTTATTATTTATTTATTTTGGGTATGAAATAATGAAAAATGAAATTTCTTTTGCTTGCCTTTGAAGGGAGGGTGAAGTTATGCCTATCCAATGGGATTAAGACTGGGGACTCTCATTGCGATTGGAGGGTCCTCAATGATAAGTGAATGCATTTATGAGATCAAGAATGGGAGCCATACATAAGAATGAATTTGAAATAAAAATAGAAAAAA